GGGCTCGAGAGGCATCAACAATCCTCGGATAGTTTGGAACTGTTTGTAGACATCCCTCTTCTCACCAGGTCCGTAAGTCTTCGGTGGAACATAAACCATTCGGAAGTCGAGAGGACTTCCATCAGCACTCGTCGCAGCGATGCACCCACCATCAGCGGTGGCGGCACAATCAACAGCAGTAGCTGTACAGTGATCATGATCTAGACGATCACGAGGTGCAGACAGGATGGCTCCAGCCAATCCAACCGAGGCCAACAGAGCCAAAGTGAATGAAAGCATCTCTACAGTTGATGAAAAAAACTAACGGCAGTCTATTGGATACCCCATCCACCAATAAGCGACAAAACTCGTAAGCAAAGCACACATTCACTGATTGATCTACTTCTATCACAGCCATACTTGAGGCCAGGCAGTGGCTAGTAGCCATCATCGCTACGATATATCAAGCTTTGTGCCGGGAGACAGAAAACGATACCTGCGCATCATTTGTAGTCGCGAGCGTGATGTTGCAACGGTTAGCAACACAACGAAGAGCTCTGATATATCTGGGTTGACTGGAGCACGTAATACAGCCAGAAAGTACACATCTGCCTATGACTGCAATCATCAGTCATATTGAGGCCATCCATGAAGGGGCTCGCCGCGAATCGATGATTTTGTTGGAAAAGGCGACGAGTCCCACTGAGGCGACAAGGCACCACAGCGCTATTGCCAGATTGAAGACTATGTACTACAATGAGATGTCTACCAGCCGCTCAATTTTCTCCCGGCAATTCAGTATCAGTGGTTGCCTGTTGGGTTGGTCAGACTTTCTTTCTTAGCAAAAAAGGAATATACGATAGTAGCATAGCAAACCGACTCGAGAAAAGAAGGCTGTGTGCAATAATAGGAGGATTCAACTGATGAGAGGGCTATATTGATAAGCTCCGTCTACTCCAATTGAGAATACGAATAACAGAACCATGGAGTTGTTGGCGAGGAGTGTAATCGTGTAATAGTAACTGTAGAATACAGCTACTATTACAGTATGGTACAATCTGTACTGTCTCTGTATGATCTCGAGTGTAGTAGCTCCTTCCCGCAATACGAATGATGTCTAACACAAATGCCTCATTCGTGTACTTGTTTTCATGCTCGTGGCCTTCGTGACAACGCAAATCCACATAGTCATCGTGGGCCGCGATGAGCCACGGTGCGCGGCTCAGCCGGGCTGAGTCAGCCAGCCGCGATACTCACCTCGCTACCTCAACATGCTCAACATATTATGTTCATCCCGTTATTAACGCACTCGTGTACAGCTCTTCGGGACGAACCAAACCGAAATCAAATGAAAAATACTCATGCAAAGTCGAATTGGCAAATCCTCTTGTGATGCGGCCAATGCTTTCTTTGACAGCTTCCCGTGCAGTAACGCTGAGCATGGCACCGGAAGCAAACCTGATGGAATGGAGAACCTTCAAAGTACATAGTCGGTGATGATATCAGTAGCGGTCTACAATGGGTGATCCAGTCGCCCCGCATAAGCCGCATCGCGTCAGCTCCTTCTGTATGTCAGTTTGAATCATATCGTCGGGAGATTCGGTCTCGTTGGTCGATGACGGAAGAGTATCATACGCTAGGTCCAGAGGGAGTAAACCATACCTTCCTCAAGTCGGAGTTGCGACACTCAAGGATGCACACTCACCCCTTGGGAGTATTTCTCGCCCTTATCAGCGGCGATGCACCGTGAGAAAGGAGGCAACGTACGATTGGCAGACTGCTGTGCGAGTCCGCTGCCAAATGCAGGGCTGTGTATCTAGCTGGAGTACCACTGATGATAGAGCATGCCGACAAGGGCCACTCGGACCCTCGGTAGATGGATCCTGATGCTTCACAAGGAGTGTTGATCCCTGCCGCTACTGAATCAATACCCAACAGTTGCTCTACGATACCCTCCGCCTCTTCTGATCAGAGATCGGGTTCGCGCGAAAGGGTGGGTGTGATTTCCCATACCTGTTCTGCCGTTCTGGCATGCCGCCATGAGTGGAGTCAAACCATGAGGGACCGAGGGGGCCACTGGATCGGCCTGACGGCTTTGCAAAATCACCCGCATACACGGGAAAGGACTACTCCGTATCTCAAGAGGAGTCGCACTAGGTCAAGACTACATCGACGAATGGCAACGTGCAAGACCGATGGATGGACGCTCTCAGCACTTGCATTGTTGAGGAAGCCAGGAATCTGATGATGATCTACCCCGATACCCCATATGGAATGATCACCATGGACAACTCTTCTCGAGGGACAGCTTCAAGCAGCATGTGCGCCATTTCCGCAGAGTTCATATGAGTCGCCATATGAAGCGCTGTCCAGCCTTCCGGATGACCCCCGATGACCGAGGCCGACAACTCGAGCAACGATCGGACAGTATTAACATTACCATAACACACCTAAGGGACGATACACGGTGTTGACGAGCGAGCGGCGTTGCTGCGGACTACCGCTGTTGTGAGAGGGGTCGATTCCGGTCTGTCCGGGTGTTCATAATCTACTATGGGAGGGCGGGCTCCAGCGAGCGACCGAACCATGTCCGACTCTCCGAGCACACATGCAGTTATAATCGCCTCGCCTAGAGTCTCTTTCGACCACAGACGGGCAGGTTCCCTCGATCCACTTGGTGGCGAGGACAACTGATGTTGTAAAAGCAGGTCGACCTAGAAGGGACTGCCATCGGTGGGGAATGGGCACTACTGGGGCACATCTCCTACTAGGGGGGTGCATCTGCTTGAGACGGCCAACAGGAGCAACGAAGGAACCGCTAAAGTGCTCTTAAGGGCTCCCGCAACGGCAGGGTATCTCGACAGGAGTAGCCGAGCCCCCTCCAGGTCACCTGCAGGTGCAGTTATCCCCCCACTGTGATGGAGTTACCTACCACTCAGGCATGCCCCACACAGTGGCATCAACAGCGCATGATCGGCGGCATCGACCTGAACGTGCTCAGCTTGGCTCTTCACGTGATGATAATCGATAACCTCCTGCAATGATGGCAAGTCGCTGTACAAATCGACGTACTTCGACAGGGCGTCTATATTGGACGCCGCGACCGATGAGGTGATGATGGCGTTGCTCGTTGGATCGGATGACACGGAAGACATGCGCGTCTGCACTTCCTTCTCATGCTGATGGTGATATGTTGTTGGAGATGAGCGACTCGTCGGTTACAAAATCTCAAGAGCAGTTCCTAATTCCACTTCCACGGTCTTATGCAGACGGAACGCAGCGGAGTCTGCAAGGACACTATCAGCAACATAACGGGACAGAATTGTGCACGCGTACAAATCTCATACCACATTTTCTTGAACACCCTTGGAATTCCACAAGCGCACACTAGCGTATTTTGACTAGATCACTTGAACGCATAGTGATTATAGAGTGTGGTAACCACGTGAGAGGTCCCAGTCTTGTAGAGCTGTAGTAGGCCCCCCTTCGGCAACCCCGACCCCGCGAGGCAGCGCCTTGGCGATTCCCAACAGAAAGGCTAATCTCTGAGGTAGTTGCGAAATGGAAGGACGGAAACAGTCGGAGACTCCCTAAGTTGGCCCGCCGGTGATGTCACTGTTGACTCCTGTGCTGGGCCAAGCTCCCGGCCTGACTGCGGTAGTCGGCCCTTTTGTAATAATGATAGAAGTGCTCACTACCTGAATGCTGACGAGTTAGAAACCAGGTAAATGCACACGAGATTCCATATCGTTGTCGAGCCGCTCGAGTAGTTCATTGTCGAGTACTCTTGGCAGGGGGAGTTCAGGGATGAGTTTCTCTGATGGGTATCTGAAGCTGTTTGTAACGTTATGGATCTCAAGTATATGTATATGACGTTAGGAAGGCTCAGTACGAGATCGAGCATGAAGTTGATGTTATGATGACCACTGAAGGCCCTGACCAAGTAGAGGCCGAGATGGACGGCTTCGGTGAATATGTTACTAAGAAGTGGCTAATTGTGCATTACACTTTCCTCGGCGAATATCAGAATGGTTATTCTGATTGGGGTTATGCGCAGGTTGGCTATGGCCCATCTAGTGAGTGGCTCCGTCACGCTGGCTTCCAGGACTTCCAAGCCACTCCAGAGCAGTCCACTGAACTGGAGCGTCATTACAAGAAGACTCAGAAGAAGGCCGATAAAATCCGCGACTCGGCATCGGATGCGTGATTGATGCAGTCCTGATCTCAATCTATAGCTATTGGCATCGTTTACTGCCCATCCTTGAGTGACTCTGTTCCGAGTTCTGTATGGATGGCTGTTTGTTTAAACGATCAGCTCATCCGATGCGTCCGTGAGGCGCTCAACTAAGTTCTGTTCTTGCTATGTTCAATGCCGATATTCAGCCAACTCTCGCTATGTAGTGGAAAATGTTTCTCCAAATTTGGAGTCCAAATGATCCAATATAGGTGTTGAGGTTTATGTAAAT